GTAAATGGTTTGTTTTCTTTATTTTGTTCAGTCCAGTATTTGACAGTTATTTCTTATACGGACACTTTTTTATTTTTCCTTGACAGTGCATGGCCAAACAGGTTTGACTGTATTAATTAGTATTATTTTATTAAATTAAATTATCGTTTATATTAAATTAGTTTTTAAAAAAGAACAAATATCTAAAAAAAACTATTGATTTTCAAAGGATGGATTTTAAAAAATATATATGCAAGGCAAAAAGTGATGTACAGCGGGCCTACCCGGTGAGGCAGGGGTGACAGTAAAATGATAATCTATTACTTAAACATTGTTTTTATGACTTTCCTCTGCTCAGTCCTGGCTGACCGAAGGTCCGTCTCGACAGATCCCCAACTGCCGACTGTGTGGTCGTCCCAGTAGTCTGGTCACTCAGCTGTACTGCCCCCTGGGTGGCTCCCCCTACCATCGCCTACTTTACGTCTTTGCCTGTCTCACTGACTGCAGCAAGAGACGTGAAGGGTAAATTACTTTTTTAAATTTTGATTTCTATATATGTGTAACTCTATTTGTTAAATTTGTTACTGTCACCAAATGATATGTTGTCACTTCTTTCACCCTTTATTTATGTGTATTTTTACTCATGCTCCTTTTCAGACAGGATTCGATTTGCTCCTCTCTATTCATTTTTATTAAATATTTGGGGAGTCAGAATCCGGACCATTATTTTTCTGGTTTTGGGGGGGGGGGGGGGGGGGTAGGTAGTGTCAGCTGTTTGCGGGTGTTATGTATCGTGGAAGGAAATAAATGGATATTTCCATTTTGAAATATAATGATCTTTCCGAAGACAAAAGATAAGTGTAAGATATATGAAGATGGGTCGTAATCGTTTTTGTCAATTTGTTGATCTGTTTAGTGGAGAATAAGATGTCTCCTCATGGCCTCAATTATAAGTTAATTTGAATTAGTAACAGGTCGGGTGTCTTGTAAATGAACTAAATAGTTGTGTTGTTTGTGCAGGTGGACAGTTTTCCGCAGTCTCAAGCTGAACAAAACGTACGGCTCTGTGAGTTCGGCCTGTGACAAATCTGGCTCGTCTGACTCATGGCTGGATGACCAGAATGATTGGGGAGAGGGGTCGGATGACTGGGGTCAGGAGTCAGAAGAATGGGGTCATGGGTTAGATGACTGGGATCAGGGGTCAGGAGACTGGGGTCATGATCAAAGATCAGGCAACTGTGGCGATTCACACATAGGTCAGATGTTAAAAACAGAGGGTTCAGGCCTTGAGAATGGCCGGTTACCCGATGTCGATGGCGGGAATGTTAGAGGGGATGGTGATGACCACACGATGGCTACGTGCACATCGCAAGCCAGAAGTGCCAATGTTTCAAAAGGAGGCTCTGCTGATGAGGAGATGGACACGGCAGCATTTTCCCAGGTAACTCTCGGAGCTTTGATACTACTTTTGTTGAAAAAAAAATGTATTGTCTTTGTCAGACTTTAATCGTGTATGTGCCAATTTAGATCAGACACTTTCTTGTGTGGTGAGGGGGTGTAATTATTTCTTATTATCACTCAGTGTTGCTCACATTTTTGTTTAGAAAGTTCTTTTTACCTCTTAGGATGTTGCCAGTTGTAATTACAATTTGTAATAAGATGAATATTTGGAGTTATTTTCTTTTAGTCAGAACACATCGTTTTATTTTACTCTGGTACATTGTATTGTAAAGCGCTCGAGCCTGTTTACTTTAATCGAGGTTGAGAGCTATAAATGTCATTTAGTTCAGAGTTCAAATCTGTGTTTGGCTTTTCGGTGCTCGTTTCATTTGTTGTTGTTCATTTCTTTCCAAACAGAGTCGCAGATAAAGAATGTTTGTGAGGCAGGGGGTGTCCAGTGTAGCGGTGATGGTGTAGGTGTAGAGGGTGAGCAACCGGTTTTGGCAGGGGGTGAGTCAGAACTGCTGGTGTGCTAGGAGGGCCGGTGGAATGCTGTCACTGGTCTACTCAACACTACAATGGCCCAGGTATGGAAGGGTTGCTTCATGGTGGAAGTAGGGCGGGGATGGCAGCGCCGTTAATAGTAGGGGTTTATGAATACTTGAGTATTTAGCCTGTGAGAGTACTCGCTTGAATATTTTTATCACAGGGAAATGTAGTTGTTATTTCGTCAGGTCTGTTAGCATAGTTACATGTAGGTGTTACCTTTTTGGGAGGGGATTGGGGGTCTTTTAAAATAGTTGTTGGTTCATGCTTTACTCAGACTAATTTGCTGTTATTTGTGTCGATGTATTTTTCTTTCCACAAAACGTAGACTCAGCAATACACGGACATCTTGTCGCCTTCTGTCGTTCTTAAAATTGTGCCCTGGTATAGTTATAACTTTTTCTTCCACATCAGGACTCCAGGTCGGCCACACATCCAGCTTCCACAGTCTCCCCCTCAGGGGGTCCGGCCATTTTACAGGCATACTATTTGTGTGTGGTGGAGGAACCCACGGAGGCCGGGGAAAGGACCTCGGATCATGTGACAGAACTTATTCGGGACTACGAGAGGTCAGAGGGGGTGAAGGTAGACCAGCTCATGTCTGAAAGGTGAGATTTTGTGTGTGTGTTATCATGTGACAACTTTTTTAGGTAAATGAGAGATTTAAAGGGTGGGGGGGGGGGGATGTGAGGGTAGACCAACTTATAGCTCAAGTCTGACGTGCAAGATTTGTGTGTGTGTGTGTGTATGCATTCCGACCTGGTTTATCATAGTTTATGTAGGCAAATGCAAGACTTGACTCTTTCCGTGATGGTATAGAGGGAGGTGCAACTTGTCTCTGTGTGTGTAGAAGGAGGGGGGTTAGGGTCATAACTAAAAGTCTGTGGGTGCAACGGTGTTATATATTAAAAAGTCCCAGTGTTTTTTTGTTTGGGGGGGGGGGGGGGTTGGTGTTATTCCTAAAAGTCAAATCCTTTTTTAGGTCACTGCTTAAAAAGGTAAAGTGGTTTCTTTGTTGATTTCCTTTTTATTTAAAAAATTGTTTGTTTTGTTTGGTTAGTAAACATCAAAGTAATTTCCTAGTGGTCATAAACTGTCAAATTTTCAAATTATATATATATTTTTTTCGTGCTATTCTTAAATTAAGGAATAACACCAAAACCCCAATGCTTCATCTTTAAAGAATATAAAAATGAAATACTTTGACTTTTTAAGAACACACAAAATTATGCTTTGACTGTTCAGAAATAGCACAAGGAAAAGGTTTTGTACTTTCTCAAGAACAGACACAAAAATAGTTTTGACTGTTCATAATCAAACTTTGTGTGGGTGTATTTTTAATTAAGAAAAAGACAAACTTTTATTGTAGTGTTATTCTTTAAAAAATCATTTTCAAATTTTAATTTTGTGACTAGAAATTCAAAGGATTTTCCTGTGGTCATAAACAGTCAAAGCATTTTCGGTGAGATTACTACAAAGTTCAAGCATTTTTCTATGGTATTTTCTAAAAGTCAACGCATTTTTATTTGGTCTCATTCCTACAGAAGTCAATGTTAAGTGTTTTTCTGTGTTCTTCTCATTGAAGTAGTAAGCGGTCTGGCAAGGGGGCAGGGAAGGAGGCGTATGAGAAAAGCGAGCTGAAGCATGGAGACAAAATTTTTCACAAGTTCTTAAAGAGACTGCAGCGCTGTCCCAAACAGTGCGTCAGGTGAGTGTAGGTAGTCAGTATGTGTAGTCACTGTGTCGATCGTGTGTGTGTAGTCACAGTGAAATTCATGTGTAGTCAGTGTGTCAGTTGTTTGTGGTCACTGTGAAATGTGTTAGTCAGTTTGTCAGATCTGCAAAAGAATGGGGTTTTATCTTGGATAGCTATTCCAGATTTTTTATTTTCCTCATCCAACACGCCCCTACAGATGTTTTGTTTTTATGCTTAACACTTATGACATTCTTTCTCACCCCTAACCTTATCCTTTTTGTAACCCCCGGGACGATGCTACTGACAGAAGTGTCTTTAGGCCATTCCCAAAAGGGGGATATAAACATGTTCTTATGCACAGTAGAATTGTAAATGAGCTGATTCATCAATGTCATGCTCATTACTGTGCCTGAACTGCATGCAGGGAACTGCTGCTTTTTCTTTCCTAATCCTTACTATCGTCATTTTCCCTCTACTTCTTTTGTATGTTTGTCCCTCTTTTGTGACCTGCTGCTATTTATGGGGTGCTTTGATAGTCGAAGAAGACTTTGTGCTGTTGAAGCTAGAGAGGTGAGCAGAGTAAGCCTGATTCCCTGTATGGACTTCTCTGTTGACATCCACCCCTTAGCGTTCATATGACCTTATGTAGTTGCGAGCGCTGTAAAAGCTCTACTAAAATCATACTGCCCATCACATTCTAATCCTAACCTTATCATTTATGCTGAACCCCCATAACATTCAAACTTTAACCCAATAGTTTACGCTTTTTCTCCATAACTTTCAAGCACTAACCCAATCTTATTAGAAACAGATGTTAGTCTTGAAATCCTTCCTGTCAAATCGCCTTGTTTGTATTGACAGTGGTATACAGGACAACTGCCTAAAAATTCTGCCACTGACTAAAAGTCAAATAACTCAAATAATTTCAATTTATTTAAATCAGAACTTTGATGTTGTTAAATTCAACTCTGCAGACAGGTTGTGTTAAAGGTTTTTTTAAATGTACAAGGGTCTTTGAAATGGTTGCGTCTTTTAATGAAAAGAAGCACCAAAATTAGCTTTTAAAATATGAAAACATAAAATTCTGACCAATGCTCAATGAAAGTTCAGTGACATTTGCATTAATTCTGAAACTGTCGCTATCACTGGTAACATATACTTGTTCCAGGTATGAACGTGGAGGCCAGCCTTTGTTGATCCGAACCCTGGAGGCTCAGGACGTAGTCCAGTCTTGTGCTCAGTGTGGAGGTCAGAGGTCATTTGAGCTGCAACTTCTACCTCCCCTGGTCTGTGCCTTGAAGCTGGAAGATGGTGAGGACTGTAAAACAAAAAAATGTTTAATTCGGGGCATAGTACAAGTACATCTTACAGAAGAATATGTGAGGCAGCGTGGTGGAATCAGGCTCTCGTCAATTTTTTGGCATGTAGAGTTATTGGTATCAACATAAAGCTTGTTCACCAGTCTTTTTTTGGATGGAAAAAATATCCATTTATCTTGAATACAAGTCGAGGTATTTGCGAATGAAGGAGTTGGGGGTCACCTCTTTTCAGAGGTAAAATTAATGAGAAAATGGCCGCCAAAGATTAGTTATTTCCTTAGCTTAAGAGTCCGTGGTAACTGAAAATGTTCATTGTTCGTGCCTTTAATCAACATTTTTCAGAAAAATCCAAACAGAAATGAGTTCTTAAATGGACATGAAAGGTGTTGAGCTAAAAAACAAAAAAATTATAAAAATACACAAACCTGCGGAAAAATGCCAGTTTCTTCATTTTGATTATTTTGACGAGAGCCTGATTCCACCACGCTATCTCACATATATCTCCACTAGAGAGGTCTTAGCATATTGACTGAGTGTGAGTTGTGTTGCCTGTTTTGACAGTGGTTGACTAGAGTACTATGAAGTGGGTTGTTGGCGGATACTCTGGTGTGGTTTGCTACTTTTTTCCAATCATCTATCCTTTGTATCTCTCCTCCTTTTTTGTGTTTACTACTCTCTTGTAACACCTCTAACCCTCTGCACTTATTTGACTTACTTACAGTCCAACTCGGGTAACTTGAGTTCGTCAGGGATTGGAAATAGTGTTAGAAATTTCCGTACGTGAAAGCCCCAAATACAAAGAAATAGAGAGGAAGTCAAGGGAGGCAAAAAAAAAAACCCCAACAACATAAAAAAATTAACGTGGTTAGCTCCCTTGATGAACGTGTTGACCGTGTGAAAGCAAGAAGATGAATGAAAGTAGAAAGCATTAAAATCTCAAGTGTGCAGTGTGCACACGCTTCTTGCTATCTGCACTGCGCGCGTCCCACAGCATGATTGAATGCATGGCGAGCCAGACATGCGGTGCGGTCAGCATCACTCCCCAACCCCCCTTCCACATCCCCCTTCCTCCAGCCTCTCGTCGTGAGACAAGGACCACGTTTTGGCTGTAAAAATAACAAAGAAACACCTACCCGCTCCCGGAAAGGCTGTAAAGCCAGGTCTTTAGTTGAGAATGAGAATGCGAAGGAGATTTGTTCGAGGTTCGAGTATTGTGTGTTCCGAGTGTTCGGGAACTCCGTGAAATCAATACTTGGAAAACATAGGGACTGAACCAGGACCGAGCATTATGTTCGAGAGACCCGAGAATTTGTAATTTTCGTGTTCGAGATTCGTGGACTCTGTATGACCTTATTGTGTTGCAAGTGAAGTGCAGTAAAACGCTTACTACTGTGAGCCCCCCCCCCCCCCCAAAAAAAAAGAAAGAAAACATGGAGAGTAGGTTGAGAGGAATGATGATGAAACAGCCTTTAAAAAATTTTCATTAAATTAACACGATCTTTCTATAAAAAAAATTAAATCATGTGAAGGGAAGTTACGATACACAGAATACAAAAGGGAGGAAAAAAACCTAGATTTGAATTCCTTCATTTAAGATGAGTTTTGTTTTTAATGTTTTGTATCAAATAAAGTCTGCACTATGGGTAAATTATCTATCTACTCTACACCCCTCCTCTCTTCTCAGGTTCTCTGTCCCCCCATTGAGTTCGGGACGGTCTTGGTCTACACCTGTGACAACAACTGCTGGACACACGATGACCCCAATCTTGACTTTGTGGAAGAACAGGTGATCCTACAGGCAGACCCTGATGACCATCTGTATAGATAACCAGTAACCAGTTAGAATTGCTCTGTGATATGACTATTAAAATGTGTTTGTCTCCCTGTCCATGACAATTCTGGATTATTCTTTTGTGTTGAAAATAGCTTCTATACAGTCATGTGTTTAAATAATAAAAAGCCATTGATTTGAAACACAAAACATATGCTCCTAGACTGTTTATTGTCATGGCTGCTGCACTTCATCCTTCGTGAAAATTTTCCATCGAATCGTGCATGCCATGGTCAAAGCCATTACACCCAAATAAAGAGCAAATCACCAGTCTCACAATAGTCAATGCACAAGGCACCCAACCCCCCTTTCCTGTCAAATGGTGCATTCCATGGTAAAGCAGAAATACAACAGGGTGCACTGAGTGAGATGAAGGAAAAGGGAAAGAGAGCAAAAAGAAATGGTAAACAGATAAAAGGAAATATTGCACATTAAAGAGTATGGTTGAAGTAGAATGAAATCCATTTTCTTATGGTTTAGAGACTTCAGTTTAATCCGTGACCTCGAAAAACAAGTGAAAATTCAAAGTGTGTTTCTCAGGCATTGGTGAAAAGAACATTTTGACCTTTGGGGCGTGTGGGGAGCGGAGCAGGACAGATTTAAAGTCTCTGGCTTCATGAGTATGGTTGTCATTCATTTTCAGTCAATTTTGGAAACATTTAGCTACCTCAAAATCACAAAATTCTATCTGCTCAGTACCTAGTTTTGAGAAATTTGGCCTCAAACATCTTGAGTTTCACATCAAGGTAATAATAATAGTAAATAGCATTTGTATTTTTCACATCATGTCAAGCTTTTTTTTAATGCAGTCCTATTTAATATCTTGATAACGACTCCGAATATTCTTATTATTTTGACAGAGCAGATAGAATATTTGGTTTTTGATCTCATGGTATGAGTACTTCAAAACGGCCAAAAATGTCAGACAGAACTTTGTAATTCTGAGGTAGCGATTTATCCGAATTTTTTGTCATACATTAAAAGTGAAAAGCTAGTGTTGGAGACGGTTTTCAACCAGTTTATCGTTGGTATAAATAAAAAAGAAAATAAAGAAGGTAACTCCCACAGAAATTGATGACACCTTTCACCTTGTTCAAGGGAAATGGTGTGTACCGTTGTCCAAACTTTCATTGGCAAGCAGCATGGGTGGTGCCACTGACTGAAATGTCTTTTACTGTTCCCAAAAGGGGGGGGGGGGCATTAACTTGTTCTTATTTACAGTAAAATTGTAAATGGGCTCATTCAACAAAGTCATGCTTATAATATAACTGTGACTGGACTGCAACAGGGTACTGCTGCTTTTTCTTTGCTAGTCCTTACTATCGTCATTTTTGCTCTACTTCTTTTGTATGTTTGTCACACTCTTGTGACCCGTTATTTCCGGGGTGCCTTGATAGTTGAAGCGTAAGCAGACTTTGTGCTGTTGAAGCTAGAGAGGTGAGCAGAGTAAGCCTGATTCCCTGTAAAGACTTCTCTGTTGACATCGACCCCTTGGCGCTCATATGACCTTATGCACTTGCAAGCGCCGTAAAACCTCAACTAAAACTAAAAAGAACCTAATTGGGTTCTGAAAAGCTTGAAGCATCTTTATTGCTTTGTCTTGCTACTGTTTTGAGCAACTTGTGCGGTCAGTCGTTACACTCTCAGTGTTGGATACAATCTAACAGTTTTTATCAAGCCTTGTTGGAAAGACAAACATTTACCACAGATGCTCGGAGACAAAAGAAACACGAATAATTAAGCATGTAGGCCTACAGTGTAGAAAGCTAGAAAACACACTAAACTGACTAAACTCGAATAATTAAGCATGTACAGTGTAGAAAACTAGAAAACACAATAAACTCAACAAGGGGTTTGTCATGTCTAAATGAAATTCTAGTTTGTCCAATACTATCATATTTCTGCGATCTTGACCTTGGGAAAGAAAGTTGGTACCGTGTATGGCCTCCATTGGTTGCTATTACCGTTCTTCTTCTTGAACCAAAAGAGTTCTCGAGGGCGTGTGTTTGCCGGCCTGAGATCTGTATCCAAGTGTCCCAAAAGTGCTCTATGGGGTTAATTGTCAGGTGAACGGGATGGATGAGACTAAAAAGAATGAAGTTGGTCTGCTCCAGGGACTGCTGTGATAGTTGTTTAGTTGCTTGTTGCATAAGCAACCAATCAGCGCATTGTATTTTTCGAATGAGGCCAACAGAGCAAATTCAGACCAAAACTTTCTGTTCAGACCAAGCTTTATTGGAGTTCGTAAACAGCACTCGCCAACTGAAACGTTTGCTAGCGATTTAACGGCGACGAAAATTTCACGTTTCTTTTGCCTCTGAATATACATTATTTAAGCTGTCTCTCTCTCTCTCTCTCTCTCTGTGTCTCTCTCTCTCTTTCTCTCTCTCTCTCTCTCTCTCTCTCTCTCTCTCTCTCTCTCTCTCACACTCACACACACACACACACACACACACACACACACACACACACACACACACACAAACACACGTACGCACCAGTACATAAATACACAAAATCACACACGCACGATTTCTTTACTTAATGTTTGGGAAGATGACGGCTAGCAAAATGACAGCCACGACAACAAACACTGAGGCAGCAGTGAACGCTCCGAACCAGCCAAAACACGACAAGAGCGCCTCTGTGGTGTACGGCAAGCATAAAGTAGCGATAACTCCACCGAAAGAAATCAGGCCAAATATGGTAGTGACGTGCTCAGAGCCAAAGACTTTGCACGTCGCTACCGTCACACTACTGAAGCAGGCAAAGTTAAAGGAAGCGTATGCACACGACCAGAAAGAATAAAACCACTTGTTGATGAAAGGGGTAAAATACCAAAACCCGCTTAAAATTGCTCCGGTTGAAAGCATAGCCAGGTAAGTGTTTTTCCATCCGAATGTATCGATTGCCACGCCTGATAACAGTTTACAAATGAAAATAGAAATTGCAGCCATTGTTCCAATACTGCTGAGAAAATGGTCGTCTGCTATGACGTTTTGGGCAAACAATTTGTAGTAGGAGGCTTCTAGGATGTAGTTGTACTCAGTGGCAGCAATGCAGAAAAACAACACGTAGAACTGTTTATTTCTTATAGCGTCAGAAGCGGTGATGTTCAGTGGATATTTCTCTGTGTTTTTAGCTCTGTCTTTAGATGGCACAGTCATTTCTGTGTCGTTCTCTGACGGT